CTTAACTAGAAGGCCCTCGCCAGCTCTCCCACAGATGCCCCAGAACGGAGGGTGGCACATAATACATGCTCTATAAACCGACTGAATGAAACTCTGTAGCAAAACTAAGATTCAAGCTATACGTACTTGTAACACAGCTCACAAAAGCCACGTGTGCTGTGTAGGGAGAATCATGGAGCAAGGTCTAGAACAGGCCTTTCTATCCTAATACTTTAGCATATGTCTGTTGAGGATCCTGTCGCATAGCTGAAGGACAGACTGGCAGGGCCACGCCCACGGTGCAAACTCGTATCCTAAGACCTGCTGGGTAGGGAGGGGGCCCTGGGGAGAGTAGATCCGGTCTGCCCCCTCCCCCCGGCAATGCAACTGAAGGGGCAGCCAAGGAGGGGGTTTCAGCAAATCCCACTGACTTTACTCTTTTGTGGGAGAAATGAAATGAGGGAGGAAAACCGAGAATGCGGGACAAAGAAGATAAAAGAAAGAGACATGTTGTCTCAAAAATAAATTAAAAAAAAAAAAAAAAGAAAGAGACATGTATATTCCAGGATAAGAGGGAGTTTATTGCAAGTTAGATTGGTTTGCTTTAGAGCAAAGGAAGACTAGGAAAGAGTGAACAGCACGCCATTTAAAAAACGTAATGTGGTCGCCAATGCTAAATGAAAGAGCCAGGTTTCCTTCCCCAGGAGATAAGAAAAGGCTGCATAATACGGCAACAGCATAGCAGGGCCTGTCTGCTATGGGGCACTCTGTCTATTCCGCAAAGAACGGGCAAACGACTCATCCTTTATAGTCCAAGACAAGGCAAAACACAAGGAAACCAACACAATTCATCGGGTGAAGTCGGTGAAACCCTCATTTCTAAACCTGACCACGCCTACTGAGAAAGGCTGGTCTTCCTCAGGAGAATAACGGCCCATTTCTAAATAAAACTGTAGCAGGTAGAATTTAACGGTACATTAAAAGTCCACGACACCACGGTGGAGAGAAATCCATCCCAGGAGAGCTTAATATTAGGCAATCGATTAACTGGACCTAAGTCATATCAACGGGGCAGAGGGGGAAGTTAAAAGCAAATGATACAAACACCTTAACACTGGAAGAATGGATGTTAAGTAAAACACAGCTCCCACTCCTAATATCAGTTCTGGAAAACAAGGACGGAAAGCTGTTTCCTTAACATTACAGGGAATATCTATCCTCAACCCATAGCCAACATCAAGCCCAACAGGGAAGCGTGAGTTTCCTTGCTTAAAAAAAAAATTTTTTTTTAATGTATGTTTATTTTTGAGAGACAGAGACACAATGCGAGTGGGTTAGGGGCAGAGAGGGAGAGGGAGACACAGCATCACAAGCAGGCTCCAGGCTCTGAGCTGTCGGCACAGAACCCGATGCGGGGCTTGAACTCACAGACCATGAGATCATGACCTGAGTCGAAGTCGGATGTTTAGCTGATTGAGCCACCCAGGCGCCCCGCATTAGTTCCCTTTCCTTCTAGAAGTGAGACAGGGCTGTCTGGCACCAGCATTCTTGAACGACCTGTAGGGTTTTCTAAGCAGTACGTACAGACACAAACGGAGACCTTTCTAACCGTTAGAAAGGAAGACAATGCTTATCCTTATTTGCTGATCACAGCATCCTAAAATAATCTAAGAGGATTTTAGCCCTTACACAACGTATGAGCAATTGGAAGGGAATCTGGGTCAGAGAATAAGTATGCAAATAAATTTTAAAAAATTACATGCCAGCCATTACCAGTCGAAAATTGTAAAAGAAAAAATATTCCAGTCACGAGGGCGTAGATAAAATACAAGAACGACAACAAAAGCCCACTTGAGAATAATCTTAAGAAATGCATGGGACTGGGCACCTGGGTGGCTCAGTTGGTTAAACACCTGACTTCAGCTCAGGTGATGATCTCATGGTTGGTGAGTTCAAGCCCCACATCCCCTACATCAGGCTCTCTGCTGTCAGCGCATAGCTCACTTCAGATCCTCTGTCCTCCCCCCCGCCCCGCCTCCCGCCCTCTCTCTGCCCCTCTCCTGCTCTCTCAAAAACGAACATTTTAAAAAATTAAAAAAAAAAAACGCATAGGAGTTACATGAAAAAAAACTACAAAACTTGACTCAGCACAAAGGAAGTCTGGAATAAAGGGCCAGACAAGGGCAGGGGTGCCTGGCTGGCTCAGTCGGTAGAGCCTGTGACTCTTGATCTCAGGGTTGTGAGCTTGAGCCCCATGTTGGGTGGAGACATTACTTAAAAATAAAATTTAAAGAAAACGGGGGAGGGGAGGGACAGACCAGATGGAAGTCTGGAAGGGGTGAAAATGGGAGACCTTCCCAAATTAACTCTAGGTTTAGCCAAATTTCAATCAAGATCCAAGCATTTTGATAATAAAATCAGGGGCACCTGGGTGGCTCAGTCAGTTAAGCGTCCAACTTCAGCTCAGGTCATGATCTCATGGTTTGTGGGTTTGAGCCCTGCGTCGGGCTCCGTGCTGACACCTCAGAGCCTGGAGCCTGCCTCGGATTCTGTGTCTCCCTCTCTCTGCCCCCACCCCACTAGTGCTCTGTCTCTCTCTTTCTCAAATAAAGAGTTTAATGAATAAACATTAAGAGTTTAATGAATAAACTCAGTTTAATGAATTAAAAATGTTTAATGAGTAAACATTAAAAAAATTATACCAGAGTTCTACTGAGAAGAAAAAACAGGTGAGAGGAGCTAAAAAAATTATGAAAAAGGAACGAAGGGAGGCTAGCCCACCAGATGTTAAAACCGTATGGAAAAATCCAATAATTAAGTCAGTGAAACAGAACATACGCTTGAAAAACAGGCGTGGAGTGGAAGCGGGGATAACTTTTCAGGAAAATAATCTGGCGACATACATCAAGAGTCTTAAAAACATTCCTAACCTTCCCGCTTCAAGGACATCCTGTGAAGTGGGAACACAGATTTACGCACAGAGTTGTCCACAGTGGACGATGGGAACGAGTGTTAGACACGTGACTGGAACAGTTACCAAAGTCATGCCTGTGGACAATTAATGCAGTCATGAAAAACGTTTACGGGTTAAAAAAAAAAAAAATCAAAATGTTGACAGATGTGTCTCGTTTTCAAACTGGAAATACTCGGAAGTGAATTTTTTGCTAACCGGGGGAAACCTCATTGGAGGAAGCCCGTGTAGAGGGTGGCCGACCTGTGCCACATACTCCGTCTTGAGTCCGTCCTCGCAGGCCACACTAGGCCTCTGACACTGAGGCCGAGGCCCGGGGGCCCGAGCCCCTCTAAGACTTAACCACCCACACTGGCCACAGAAGGCGTGCGGCCCCGACGCTCACCCTCGCGGCAGCCAAGGCTCAGCGAGGGTGTCACTCAGGATTTCCGGGGGACAGAGTGGGCCCAGGCGGGGCTGTTCCAGCATGCGGGATGAGTTCACCACAGAGGCACTGCAAAGTCCTTGCAAAACACCGGGAATCGTGACGGATGCTCTTGTCCGAGCAGCTTCGCCAGCGCTCCAGAGAATTTTTGGAAGCGGATCTGAAAATGCGTCTCGAAAGCCTTAGTAGTTTGGGGCGCCTGGGTGGCTCAGTCGGTGGAGCATCCGGCTCCGGCTCAGGTCACCATCTCACGGTTTATGGGTTCGAGCCCCACGTCGGGCTCGCGGCTGTCAGCACAGGGCCCGCTTCCGATCCCCTGCCCCCCTCCCGCTTGCGCTCTCTCAAGGGGTATTTTATGTCCCTTCGGAGCAAGCATTATGTCTAGATATGTGTTGTAAGGAAATGATTTTGCATGTGGACACAAACATAGCTGTTCAACTTTTAAAACGATATTGTATAATTATAAGTGGTCTAAGTGTCCACAAATCGAAAATGGGAACCCACGATGAACCTCCTATACCACCTGAAGAGGTAATCCCGTATCAAAATTAACAAAAAATAGAGATGAGTACAAGGAAAAGAAAGAAATAACTACCGAAGGCAGCTTAGTGTGAAGAATGTTTAAATTATTTCTTTTTTAACTTTTTTTTTTTTTTTTTTTGAGACAGGGAGACAGAGCATGAACGGGGGAAGGTCAGAGAGGGGGAGACCCAGAATCTGAAACAGGCTCCAGGCTCTGAGCTGTCAGCACAGAGCCCGACGCGGGGCTCGAACTCACGGACCGCGAGATCGTGACCTGAGCCGAAGTCAGCCGCTTAACCGACTGAGCCACCCAGGCGCCCCCCCTAAATTATTTCTTAAAAGGAGAGGACATAAGTGTTTCTAGCGATAGCCTTTGAGAATGACCAATGGGCCCTGAAAAACGTTCTCATGGGGCTGCCTTACGAGAGGAAAAGTGCATGAGGTCCTACCTTAAGCTTTCATGTGAGGGCCAGGTCTTAACAGCAGAGGGCCACAGTCCCCCCGCTTGCCCGCACATCAGAATCACCGAGCAGGTGGTTAAAAACAGGCCCTCCAGTCACTCCCCAAGGCTCCAGAACTAGGACCTCCAAGGGGGGCGGGAGGGGCAGAGGCTTCTGCAGCTGATTCACCTGAGCCTCGGGCAGGGGGACACGCCTCGGTGCCCAGTTCAGCAATAATGGGCCGCTGGAGAGACTGAATCCCTGTCTAAGCGACTAAGGTTTAGATCCACAACCATAATTCCAGGTGCCCTGCTCTCCATCCATGAAGTGGGACTAAACCCGAGTTTCCACCTTAAAAAGATAACATGGGGTCATGGTATAGGGAGAGCGGGATACTGAGTTGTGAGAGAGTGTCCCGTGGTGACGCCAATATTCCCATTCGTCTGGGCACAGAGTGCTGAAGCGGAGAAGTGTCCTCCCCTTTGGCGGGGGTGACCACGCAGAAGTCCCACCACTCCCACTACAAGACAGAGGGGTCCCAGGTGCGGATGCCAAATGTCGGACCCCACGCCTGAGGACATCTGAGCCCCGGGTCGTGTTCAAGAAGAGGCTGGAGCACGTCCTGGTTAGCAGTGACGGGTCAGGCGAGGACACGCCCACCTACCTGCCCAGAGCTCCGAGGTGATGTGAGGGGCCATCGGGGCAGCCATCACGGTCAGGGCACACACAGCGTCCTCGAACTCGGGGCTGTGGAGAACGACTCTCTGCGAGGCTTGCTGGGGAAGAGAAAAGAACAACGTGAGAACACCGAGGCACACAGAATAAGCCTGGGGAAGGAAGGCCAGCCATGTTATCTGAAGTCCAGAGACACAGGCAGGCAGGCAGCAACCCTCCTGGCCATCCGTTTGCTCTGGACGAAGAATGTCCCCCAACTAACCCTAGTATGACAAGGAGAGCAGCAAAGACACCACTCTTAGCTGAGCACGTACTACACCCTCAGTCTGAGGCCGACTCATTTGATTCCTACAGCTACTGCTGGGGGGCAGTGTTCTTTCCCCCACCGGGCGGATGAAGCAGCTAAGGGTCACGGAGGGAGAGTAACCTGCCCCCAGGTAGGTGGTTAACCAAGCAACGCAGCTCCCACGAGCATCCAGCTTTGTCTGAAATCAGAGTGCGACTCCTAGCTGCCCTGCTGGGTTTCCCGGGTGCTTCGGAGCCCGTGAGACACGCACACGGGCTTGCTCACGGGTTTCGCAACATGCAAATGTCTAGCACAGGGGTCCCTCTGCCCCCTCGGGGGTCTCAGGGGTCCTCCTTCTATTAAACAGCTTTGCCAGTTACTATAAACACCCAGTTTCTTCCTGCAGTGCGGCTAGCCAGGTGACGCAGCCACGCGCCCATCTAATTTACGGGGTACCTACCCTATGCTGGACTTTGGGGATAAAACGTCCAGAAAGGTACAGTCTCTGCCCTCAAGGGGCTTACTATCAACTGGGGAGACAAGTGACAGAGGAATTAAGGGTGTCACAGGGTGCAGAGGAGGAACGGTGGTGAGCAAAGCAGGGTGTGAACTGGCGAGTGTGGTCCAAGGACGGCGGGGAAGGAGAGGGGCCATCCTGACGTGGCTGTGGGAAGGACATCACTGAGTTTCCCAGAGGCTGGTGGTTGTCGAGGCACGCTGGGCAAGTCCTGATAAAAACCAGCCTGGCGAGATGGTGGCACTCCAGTCTATGTTCACAAAACAATTGTGACAAAAACAATTTTGGTTTAATTTTATGATGTTTGCTAAAATTAAAAGTAGGAAGCCCCCATGATAGATATTTTGCTAGGTAGAGAGAGGCCAAAAATACTATACGTTTAAAAAAAAATTTTAAGTTTATTTTTGAGAGAGAGAGAGAGCACGAATGGGGGAGGGACAGAGAGAAAGAGGGAGACACAGAATCCGAAACAGGCTCCAGGCTCTGAGCTGTCAGCACAGAGCCCGATGTGGGGCCTGAACCCACGAGACGAGAGAGCATGACCTGAGCCCAAGTTGGATGCTTAACTGACTGAGCTACCCAGAAGCCCCTCACAAAATACTGCACATTTAAAAAAAATGTTTATATATTTATATGGGGGAGGGGGGGCTTGTGCCGGGGAGGGGCAGAGAGGGAGAGAGAGAATCCTAAGCAGGCTCCATGCTGTCAGCACAGAGCCCGATGCGGTGCTCAATCCCACAAACCGCGAGATCATGACCTGAGCTGAAATCGAGAGTTGGATGCTCAACCGAATGAACCACCCAGGCGCTCCTATACATTTAAAAAAAAAAAAAATGCCTCTATGATCTTTGCAAAACAGCCTAAGAGATTGGAATCTAATTCCACGGGTGAGGGTACGGAGAGACTCAACCAGAAGGGCTGTAGATGGAACGGTCAGCGAGGAGACATTTCATTTTTAATTTCTTTTTTCTATAATATTTGCCATTTTTTCCCAATTAAAAAAATCACACACACTCGGCAAAGAAAATTTCGGAAACGCGAAATCACTCGTGCGTTGTCCAACCCAGAAGAAAACTGATGTATTTTATCCCGGTCTCCAAAAATGCAAAAATGCGGGACTTTCCACATCTGCCCATATACCCTTTGGCTTGACTGGAGTTTTTATCACATAGACACTGTTGTATCGTGTGTTCTTCCTTGCTGTTGTATCGCGAACAGTTTCTGAAACTAAGTATTCCTGGAAAGCACAGTGTGAATGGCGGTGGTGTATTTCCTTCTCATTGATATGACCAGAGTCATTTCCCGATTTTCCGTTCTGAGGACAGCTGGGGTTCTATGTCTCTGTGACTGTGAGTCACTGGCCAGTGGGCACCCCTGAATCAAAGGACATAAACAACTGCAGGACTACTGACCTCAAAGTCAAAGCGCTTCCTGGAGAAGTTACATCAACCATGGCCACTGCTGATATGTAACACGGTCTCAGTGCCTTTGTAATAGCACAGACTTTTAGGTTAAAAAGTCTCCGCAAATTTGATAGGCAAAAAAAAAAAAAAAAAAATAGCACCGCGTTTTTAATTTGCATTTCACGATAATTAGTGAGGCAAATACTTTTTTCTGCCAAGTTTACGGGTTATTTCTATCTTACCTTCTGTGAATTACCTCCTTTCACATCCTTTGACCGCTTTTAGGTTAGGTATTTCATATTCGTATGTGAAGAGCTCTTTATATATTGAGAATCTTAAGCCTTATGTCCGATATTTTTGTTATAAAATGTTTTCCCCAGTTTTTATCTACCTTTGAACGTGGCACGTTTTAACACACTAAAAATGGTAAGTTTTATGAAGTCATGGATTTGTCACCAAACGACCAGACACATCATCTGACCTCCCTGGGCGTCAGGTCCTCACAAGCAAACCGTGGTGGTGGGGGGGGGGGGGGGGGGGGGGAGGGGGTCGTTGGGCGAGAAAAATTTTTTTTTTTTTAAGTTTATTTATTTTGAGAGAGAGAGAGAGAGAGAGAGAGAGAGCGAAAGAGCACGCAAGTGGGGGAAGGGGCAGAGAGAGAAAGGAAGAGAGAGGATCCCAAGCTGGCTCTGCACCATCAGCCCAGAGCCTGATGCAGGAGGGTTTGAACCCACAAACCGTGAGATCATGACGTGAGCCGAAGTCAGCCGCTTAACCGACTGGGCCACCCAGGTGTCCCCCTCCCTTTTTTTAAAGTTATTTTGGGCCCATCTTTAAGAACCTTCCAGCTCTAGGGGAGCCTGGGTGGCTTGGTCGGTTGAGAGTCCGACTTCGGCTCAGGTCATGATCTCACAGTCCGTGAGTTCGAGCCCCGTGTTGGGCTCTGTGCTGACAGCCCAGACCCTGGAGCCTGTTTCAGATTCTGTGTCTCCCTCTCTCTCTGCCCCTCCCCTGTTCATGCTCTGTCTCTCTCCGTCTCAAAAATAAACACTAAAAAAAAAAAAAAAAATTAAAAAAAAAAAAAAAAAAGAACCTTCCAGCTCTAAAACTAGGTTGTGACTATGGGAAAAGAAAATGCTTCTTTAAGATAAGAGAGCCACACCGAGGGGGTGATACCACGGTGCTGCTCTCTGTCCGCAACCCGGCACCCTGCAGGCCACCTCAGCATGTGGTGGGAAGCCACCTGCCCTCCTGTGCTATCAGATGAGGACAAGAGGGCCACTTACCAGGAGGGCATTGCTGAATCCCATCAGCTGAGAGATTGCCGCGTTCAGTGAGAAGTCCTCTGTGAAATGGGCGGTCACCTATCGGTAAAAGTTCAATTATACACTTTCTTCAACATCTCTTTAAGCTTCCCACCAAAAACCAGCACAACACGACAACGACAAAACAGACGGACGACCCCAAAAATGTGACCTGCATGAAGCTTGCAAAGGTATTTACAAATGGATTCACTGTCTCGAATAATCACGATAATGTTTCATCGGCACAAAGATTTTTTAAATCGGGGTCAATGCCGTTTCCACTACTCAGCACGTCCCGCTCCCCCACATCCGGGCCGTGCTGGTCCTCGCAGTGGGGACTTTAAACGCTGCTAACGAGCCGAGCAGGAGGCAGGACCCGCTGATGAGGAGGCCTCAAAACCACAGCAGACCGGAGATGGGGTGAAGGATGTCGCTCCTCTGTGGCTCCGTGACTTTCATTCACAAGAAAGGTTATTAGGGGACAGGAGAAGGTGAGTTTTGCATTTTCAAATGTGGACTCAACATAAAAACACTAATAGGACTTGTCAGCTTCTTCCTGTTTGTGCGTTTTTCAATTTTGACCATGGCCAAGAATATAGAAAAACAACACGTGTAAGGATGTTAAGAGTTTCCAACTTGTTTAGGCGACCCAGTTCTATGATCTGACAGAACCGAAGAACGTGCCAGATCCAGAGAGGAAATATGTGGTATGAAAACAATCATTCAGGGGCGCCTGGGTGGCGCAGTCGGTTAAGCGTCCGACTTCAGCTCAGGTCACGATCTCGCGGTCCGGGAGTTCGAGCCCCGCGTCGGGCTCTGGGCTGATGGCTCAGAGCCTGGAGCCTGTTTCCGATTCTGTGTCTCCCTCTCTCTCTGCCCCTCCCCCGTTCGTGTTCTGTCTCTCTCTGTCCCAAAAATAAATAAACGTTGAAAAAAAAAAATTAAAAAAAAAAAAAAAAAAGAAAATCATTCAGGCACCACTCACATCATGGAATTCAATTCCGTGAGCTCTGTTTCTCTGCACTAGAGAAGAGGGGACGGGAAAAAAGTTGAAGAAGTGTCACCGAATGAGACCATGCTGGACCCAGAGCCTCAGGAAAACCCTGTGCCTTCAATGTCATCAGTTACCAGAGTCCGGAAAAGTGACCTTGGCTGACTTTATAAGTTCAAATCAGCAATTCTAGAAAGGGAGAAAGAAAGAGATAAAGAGAGAAAAGAAAGGGGGAAAGAGAGAGAGAAAGAAAGAAAGAAAGAAAGAAAGAAAGAAAGAAAGAAAGAAAGAAGAGGGAGGGAGGAAGGGAAGGGAAGGGAAGGGAAGGGAAGGGGGGAGAAAGGAAGGAAAGAAGGAAGGAAGGAAGGGGAGAAGAGAAAAGAAAAGAAAAGAAAGAAAAGAAAAGAAAAAAGGAAAGAAAAGAAAAGAAAAGAAAAGAAAAAAGAAAAGAAAAAAACTTCAGCCTAAGGAGTATTTGGGGTGTCTCGTACCCACTAAAAAATGCCTTTGGATCTCCTAAATGCCTTCTTTCAAAGACATGTGACATTTCTTTCCACAAAGTTCTTAAAAAGGCAAATGCCACAGTGTTGTAGCGAACTTCTAGATAAAACATTTAAAGGGATTTGTTATCAGTGAAGCATCTTTTAAAATGAATTCAGGGGCTCCTGGCTGGCTCGGTCAGTAAAGCACGCAGCTCTTGATCCCGGGGTCGGGAGTTCAAGCCCCACGCTGGGTGTGGAGATTTCTTAAAAATAAAATCTTTAGAAGAGGAAAAATAAAATAACGGTGGCTTGGACAATAAAATATTATTCTCTAAGAAGGTAACACGAACAAATCACGTGTGTGCAAAAGTGAAGTCACGAGAGCTCCCACAGATGCCGTGTGACAAAGTTCCTGGGCGCCCAAGTCCCCCCTCGGCCGGGCGTCTAGCCTGGAGGAGCCGGGTCTCTGGGCCTCAGCTCTGCCTCCATCTGTGGAGTGAGGAGGCCGAAGAACGGTCTCTTCGGGCCCCTTCAGCCTTGAACCTCTGTTTCCGTTGGCCTCACGTGTGGTGCCTCATCAGCGCTCCTGCCCAGAATGAACCAGCATCCCCGGAAAGTTCCTCACCTCAGAGATGACCGAGTTCTTGTGCTCCCAGAGCTTCCTGCCCTCGGCTCTCTCCTTGTTACTCAGCACTTGGGGCCGGGGAAGCGTCCCAGAAGCCCTGGCCTCGATGAAGCGGGTCACCAAGGCCCACAGACGCTGTTGCCATCTTAGCACCCCGGGGAGGGCGTCAGCTGTTTCGAGCCGGGAAGCGAGAACGGGAAAGACACACGCACGAGTGACCCATCTAGTTGTGCCCCAGCCCAGAGACGCACTTGTGCATTGAACACACACTTCGCGGCGCCCCGACGGAGTGACCCGAGGGCAGGTTGCAGGGGCCACCCTGGCTTGCGGACTCCGGGAACTCAGACTGGCACTGACTCCACCACATCCCAGAGCGCCAGGCGTTCAGAGCACCGGTCGGCAGGGCCCCTCAGAGTGGCCACCGACGGTCCCCGGCCCACGACAAGCTCAGAAACCTGGGCCAGGCTGTGCCTCGGGGCCCACCTGCCCCGCTTCAGAAGGCCTGCGGTCACAAAGGTGTCCCCACAGAACCTAAGCCTTGGCACCTGCACTTCGTAGGTCCCCGGTGATTCCAACGCACCCAGTTCCGGGACTGGCACCTGTGACTACTGCTCCAGACCACACATATCACTGGAAACAGCTCGCCGAGCAAGGCGGTGATGGGGGCGCCTGGGTGGCTCAGTCGGTTAAGTGTCTGACTTCGGCTCAGGTCATGATCTCGAGGTTCATGGGTTTGAGCCCCGCATCGGGCTCTGTGCTGACGGCCCTGAGGCTGGAGCCTGCTTTGGATTCTGTGTCTCCCTCTGTCTCTGACCCTCCCCCACTCGTTCTCTCGTTCTCTCTCTCCCCCCACCAAAAAAATATCTATGTATTTTAAAAAGACAGTGATCCAGCGCCTCTGATTTCTCCTTTCCAGAGTGCGTGGGGCAGACCACAGGAAGAAAACTGAGTGACCACTGGACCGTTGATTCTGGGATAGCCAGATACCCTAGAAGATTCTACCTCATGCCCTTTCAGATCTAAACTGCTCTGGAGAGACAAATCTCCCCTGAGGGGGATGGAGCGGCGGCTGTGGGCGGTGGAGGAAGTCCCAGGTAACCCCAGGAGCAGGCCCCGGGCAGGGTTTTCTGGACTCATCCGCCAGAACAAACCTCTCAGGGCGGAGGGGACTGGCCTCCGAGGGCCACAGAGGGCCTCGGGGTTGCCTGGAAGCCAGCATGGCTCCCAGGAAGCGTTCTCAGGAGGGGTCCTGGAGGAACCTGAGTCAGAACGCCACAGACTTGGCGGAGGCGGGTTCCTGGGCAACCCCCCCCTCCCCCCCCCACCACTGACGCCGCCAGCGGGTCTGGGGCGAGGACTGGGAAGCCGCACTTGCTGCGAGCTCCTCCAGTGACTGTGAGGCCCGTCACCTCCGGGGACTGTGGGGACGGTACAGGATGTCGGACAGACCGCTCCTCGCTTCACGGGGCGGATTCCTAGAACCCTCGCTGCTGTCTTCGGCCAAGACGTTTCCTTCCTCGAAACTCCTCGGGCGACCGAGGGCGAGGACACGGGCGGCGGGCCGGGAAGGGGGAGGGGACTTACACTTCACATCCCACAAGATATCCTTCTCGGGAGGGGCGGCGAAGAGGATGTACAGCCGGATGGTGTCGATGCCATAACACCCTACGACCTCCTGGGGGTCCACCCCGTTGTGTTTGGACTTGCTCATCTTCTCCCACGTCACCTCCACCGTCTCCTTCGTGTTTGCGTGAACAGGAACAGACCCTGGACACCAAAATCACACACGGGGACGGCACGTGTGGCTCAGAACGGGTTCCGCAACAGCACGTCCACTAAGAGCCATTAAAAGCGTCCGCTTGAAGAATCCCACTCATTCACTCGACACGCCTCTTTCTCCTCTTTCTCTCCCTCTGCGACACATCGACACATCGTAGAAAAAGGGAAGGGAAGGGAAGGGGAAGGGGAGGGAAGGGAAGGGGAAGGGGAAGGGGAGGGGAGGGAAGGGAAGGGGAGGGGAGGGAAGGGAAGGGAAGGGAAGGGAAAGGGGAGGGGAGGGAAGGGAAGGGAAGGGGAGGGGAGGGAAGGGAAG